CCTCGATTTGCGGATTGCGACTGCAAACGCGCCAACGGCTACTTTTTCGCCGGAGCCGAGCCGGAGCTCCGAATGTTGAAACCCTAATTTTCCTGCGACTTCGTCAGAATCGATTTTACCCAGAGATTTCCGAAAGCGAGGTGTAAGAGTAAGATTTTCTGGAAACCCAACGTTAAACAAGAATAAAGAGTGGGAGATTATTGGTTGTAATTTGGTGGGTTAGTAGTATCGAGAATGCCTGAGATGGAGCAGCCAAAGAAAGTTGCTGATAGGTATCTCAAGCGAGAGATTCTTGGGCAAGGTACTTATGGAGTCGTCTACAAGGCCACTGATACTAAAGTGAGTTCTTTGCCTCATATCTCAAATTCGTGGCGGCGCCGTGAAATTAGGGTTTAGGATCTGTCGGTGATACTAAGTTCTCCACTTCTGGTTCCGGATTTTCGTGTATCTTTGTGGGATTTTTCTGGTTTTTTTGTTTGTGAATCGTGAAGGGTTAGTTCTGACAGTTTTGGGTGTTCATTAGACTTGCAAAATTATTCATTTTTCATAAGATTTTTGATATTGATTTGCTCATGGATCTTGCAACCTCTGTTGGGTATGCTTCTGGGCATTTATATCTCTCTCTCACACACACACAGTTATGTTTTACTTTCTGCTCTGGTTTCAGATGAAATTACTGAATTGAGTTTGAAGTTTTTTGTTCCTTTGGATATATGGAAGTAATTGTTTTATTTGGGGCTGTGCAGACGGGACAAACTGTAGCAATCAAGAAGATAAGGCTTGGTAAACAAAAGGAAGGTGTAAATATTACAGCTCTCAGGGAAATCAAAATGCTTAAAGAACTGAAGCATCCACATATAATTCTGTTGATAGATGCATTTCCGCACAAAGAAAACTTGCATCTTGTATTTGAGTTTATGGAGACTGACCTCGAAGGAGTTATTCGCGATTCAAACATATTCCTCTCACCTGCCGACATTAAATCTTACCTCTTTATGACACTAAAAGGACTTGCTTATTGCCATGAGAAATGGGTTTTGCACCGGTATTTGTTTATCCTAAAGAACTTGCTTTTGTTTCTGTAATGCTGCTTGGTTTAGCACTGATTATGTATTGTTTGACTTCAGGGATATGAAGCCTAATAACTTGTTGATAGGACCTGATGGACAGCTGAAACTTGCAGATTTTGGGTTAGCACGTATATTTGGTAGTCCAAATCGTAAATTTACCCACCAGGTATGGTTCCTGTGCATTCCCATTTGCCTTTTGCTTGTAGTATAACTAAGTTGATCGGTATGACTAACTTGTTGAAATAAATCGTATATGAATTCATTAAGGTAGCTTTTAGCTGTAGTTGTGTCAATGGATGAGGAAGCTTTGAAGTCTTGGACTTTTGATTTCACTTGTTGTATACTAGTCTTCAAAATGTTGAAATGTCTTGTCTGTCGCTTTTAATGGATTTCTGCTATCGCCTATCAATAATGCAAAATGTGATATGTATTAAACAGTCTCAACTCAAATTACATGATGGAGTATTTGCTATCTCATCTCTGCATTTTATATTGTGCTATTAACCGAATCCCTGACCTTAGCTATTTAACCTTCTTTGTTTCCCTTTGAACACCCATGATCGCAATAGATGCGCAATGCATCCCATTTTTGTTGTTGTTTCTAGTTGTTACATTACCTTCATATCTTGATATATCTGATGATGCACAGGTGTTTGCTAGATGGTACAGAGCACCAGAACTTTTGTTTGGTGCAAAACAATATGGTGCTGCTGTTGATGTTTGGGCTGCTGGGTGCATATTCGCCGAACTTCTGCTACGCAGACCCTTTTTACAGGTTAAATAATCTTTACTCAACTTATCATGGCTATCTTCATCTCTTTGGATGCTATACTCTCAGACTACTTAATTACTTCTTTATTTCTTACAGTTTGTTTTGGTATGCTTACTTATTTGATTTCCTTTGTTGCAGGGAAACAGTGATATTGATCAATTAAGCAAAATATTTGCTGCCTTTGGGACACCAAAAGCAGATCAGTGGCCTGATATGACTAACCTACCAGATTATGTAGAATATCAATTTGTCCCTGCACCAGCCCTGCGTTCTTTATTTCCAGCAGTTAGTGAAGATGCTCTCGACTTGTTGTCCAGACTGTTTACCTATGACCCAAAGGCTAGAATTTCCGTTCAGCAGGCTCTAGAACACAGGTGCCTAAATCTCACCGCTTATGTAGCCTATTTATACGCAAAATATATCTAGTTATCTCACACCTTTGTTTTCATATTTTAGGTACTTTACTTCTGCACCTGCTCCTACTGACCCTGCTAAGCTCCCAAAGCCCATTCGCAAGCAAGAAGCTAAAGGCTCTTATGGTAAGCATGAGGCCATCAAAGTGATCTCACCACCACGTAAGCTTAGAAGAGTAATGCCTGAGCGTGGGAGGCTTGATAGTATGAAGTCTCACGCTGACAAGGATCAACAAGCACCCATGTCATTAGATTTTACCATCCTCGCTGAGCGACCTCCAAACCGACCTACCATCACGAGGTAAAAACATTGAGTTATTTGCCCCCACACTGTGAATTCTTCCTTGATTAGTTGTGTCAGTTGTATTTGCCACCTCAAGATTGAATGTGTTTTGATGGCTGCTTCTTTTTCATTTTGTAGTGCTGATAGATCTCATCTAAAGAGGAAACTCGACCTCGAGTTCCAGTAATAATGTTCTTTCCTTGTTCTCTTAACTGCCCTCCATTTTCATGCTCTGGTGAGACCACAACATTGTTAAATTGTCATTTTACTGCTGCTGGTGTAAGTTGGCGATTTATTTTTTGTTCCCCCCTCAATTACAAACTGGAGGAGGGACCTTAAATTTACAATGATAATACTTCGTTGTCCTATTTGCTTCATCCATTGTAAACTGATCATCATGTACTGAGTCTGATTATAAAGCTGTCTATTTTTTTACTTCTGGGAATCTTTTGCACTACAAAGACATCTTCAAACTCATTGAATTTATCCATTTACTGCAAAATCATTGACATTACCAATAAAAGGTTTAAAACTCCCACACAAGCC